TACACACAAGGAGGTTGCTTATAGATATGTGCTTCAAGAGATATGTCTTGTGTATTACTGAAACGATAATAATTTGATAAGCATACAAATATATTAGATCCTTAACTCGCTTTCGCATAAACCGAATAACTCCTGCAAAAGGATAGGTGAGAGTTGGTTTAAGCCGAGACAATTGAAGAAAGAGGGCATAAATTAAATTGTGATTCTCATGGTTCAGTACTTTTAATGCGTATGTTGATAACGATGCAGATCAAAAGAGAACGTTTCAATTCAAAAAGAGTGATACTGAGATATAACCGCGTAACTAAATAGCATCACGAGCACACAAGAGTCCCTCGGGTTAACGGCACGAATCTGACCGTTATAGCGTCTTGAATGAATATATGTTAGTATGGGGCTTAGTTGTTTACTTTTAAGTGTAAAAATCGACATCTGCATCATCAGTGGTTTGATAATATTAAACAAAAATGAAGATATCCTTTTTGACTATTGAAAAGGAATTTAAAATTATGTAAATAAAAAAAAAATTCAAAAACCTTCTGTAAGCTTTTTTTAGAATCACTTATCTTCATCTTCAAAATTTTGAATCATTTATACCCTTACTTAAATCTTTCCAACCTACACATGTTGAAAGTGTCAGAGTTTGTTTTCACTCAAAAAATTTCATTTCATTAACTATTATCAAGTAGATCAAGGGACATCAAGAGTTCTTATCTTTGTGTTTTTTTAAAGGTTAACTTTAGTTTTGGATAGAAAATCAAGTTGGGAGATAAATGATAAAGAAACCTTAAATAGAGGTGTAAATAATAAAAAGTTTCAGAGAAGGAATCAGAATAAGTGATTATGAGAAAACTTACCGGAGATTTTTGAAGTTTTTTCAAAAAAATAATAAAAATGTAAAATTGAAAACTATATTTGTATTACTATGATCTATTTCGAAAATTAGGAGTGTAATCGATATGTACACATTATTTTGGTCATCTATATATTTTTTCATTGAAAAGTGGTATTTTTTTTAGTTTTTTTTTTGGATAAAAAAGTGATTCTTCTAAAGTGGTGGAGTTAGGGAGAGGATAGGGTTGACTATTGTCCTCTCTCAAATTCATCAAGCCGTTGTCTTAAATTATATACAAACTTAAATTATTAATTTAGTTTTATCAACAGATTAAGTTTTTTGATTAAATTGATTCTTAATATTGTATCAGAGTTTTTCGTAACCAAATGATCACGAGTTTGATCATCATCGTCCCATATTCAATTAATAAATAATTAAGTATTGTTAAATTTCTTAACACAAATATGTAAACCTGTACATTATCAATTAATTCTTTATATATATAGTATAATATAAAGGGTTTTATAATTCTCATGTTGAAGGAGAATTGAAATCTCATGTTGTAGAGATAAAAAGCATGTGGGACCCATGTGTTAAAAAAATTTATATGTAGGACCCATGTCAGCATGAAAATCAAAGGGTGTGTAGAAAAATTATAATTCTCATATTAAATGAGAATTATAAAACCCTAATATAAATTTGTCTCCTTTTATTTTTATGATTCCTCGTTTAAAGAGCTTTTTAAATTTAACTACATATTAACTTATTACTGTGTTCCTCTGTCTAAGTTAGGGGGAATCTTGAATTTCAGCCCCCTCTCATAAAAAAAGTGATGGATGTCAAAGAAGCACGGGCACTTGTAAAAATAGAAAGAGTCGGGTCTGACACGCTCCGACACGATGACACGCTCTGACACGGTGTCAGACACGCGGTTGACTTTTTCCGACACGTTGACCATTCCGACACGCGAATTTGACCGTATCCGACACGGTCAAATGGCATTTTCGTAATTTTTTTTTTATTTTTTTTTAATTTTTTTAGTTTTTTAAAAGTTAAAATATATTAATAAAGCTTCCACCTGATCATATCAATTTTGTCTTTTTGTCTTTTTTCTCCTTAAGTAGATAAGAGATGATCTCAGCATCATTGTTGTCAATTCTTATCACGCTCTTGTTGTATCTTCTTCTCTCTAATATGATTTGATCTCTCTATCTGATATTATATATCTCTCTCATCCCAGTTCTTATTTTTTTTATTAAAGCTTTCATCTTTATAACGTGTTGATGGGTATTATTAATTTAGTTTCATTTTTTTGTTAAATTATTAAATATTAAATGAAATATGCACTATATAAATTAAAAATATTATTTAATATTAAAACGTGTCCCAACGTGTCGAAATCCATAATTTTTTAGGATTAATATGTCGGAGTATCGTGTCGTGTCGTGTCACGTGTCGTATCGATGCTAGATGGATGCTCATAAAACTATCATTTCTTGCTAGATTTGGATTTTCCATACGAATTTGGAGATCTGTGAAGTTTTACACTGTACTTCAAAATGTGATTTAAAAAAAATACAAGATAAAACTATATCAGCATAAAGTCATTATTTTGGATAAGTGAAACTTCACAATTAAACAGCCAAATATTTTTTTTTTTTAAACAGCCAAATTTTATTCTTAGCGTTAGTTAGAGCTATATAATTTTTTTGACTAATTCTTAACAACATATTACACACGAATAATATTACTGAAATAAATATTAAAATCATTAGACACCACTTTTGATATGTTCCTAATTAAATCTTTTAATTTAAATAAAATATTAGAGATTGTTATCATATGATAATGATTTTGTTTACTTTTTTTCAAAATAAATTCAACGTCCGGGTACAAATATGGTTTTATTCTTTTAACTGTTAGTTTTGGTCTGTATAAATTTTGAGTTTAATGTAGATACAGTACCCAATATATTTATAATTATTTTAAATTAGATTTTAATTTTGACATTTACATATTATTTATATACAATATCTTATATTATTATTTAATATTCTATGAATTGAACAGCTTATTTAATGAATTTGACTGTAGTAAATTTATATAATATATTAAATCATATTGAGAAATAGTATAACATAAAATAATATAAGTATCTTCACTTATTAACTTCAATTTTTTGTGTTTACCAAAAAAAAAAAAAAAACTTCGATTTTTTGATAAAATTAGTTATTTACATGACATGACTTCTTACTATCCATGTCGCTCCTTATTTTTCTAATAAAAGGGTTCTAGGTGTGGTGGACCTATAAATTGTCCATGATTAAATTTAATGTTATTAAATCCGAATCAGTTATCAATTCGATTGGGATACCAGATTAGTGAGTCAATTGTTCAACGAGTAGGTCACTAGTAGTAGTTAAATAGTATGTATATAAATTTATATTTTATACTCAATTATATAATAAATATTTTAAATGATGCAAGTTAATTAACAATCTAATGTAGTCTAGTGATAAGTACTATTATTTTTATTTCCATGAGTTCGTTTTATACATTTTCCAAAAACAGCCCGTTGAACTCTAATTCATCACCAGGTTGATATCATATCAGGTCAATGACATATCTGATCCATTGCTTGAATCAGACCGGTTGATGGGCCAATTTTTGGACCGCCCAATCCAGTTTTAATAACACTATTAAATCCTATAAGCCTCTCAGCACACGATGGAATATATTAAGGAATAAAATAATATAAATGCTTGTTATAAAATAATAATAATAATAATAATATAAATGCCTTCACCTAATAACTTATTTTTTTTGGTTGAATTATTCTTTACAAATTTATTAAATAATATTATTTAAAATAAATGTATTATTAAAAAATTCATTAAATGATGTTGTTTTAACACTCACATTATATTAAAATTAAATTCTTTAGACTTCCATTTAATTCAATCATGTAATTTTGTATTGATACCTTATTTAATAAGTTTGACTATATTAAAAAATGAGATATATTATTTTACCTACCTGTTATTCAAGCTACCTTAAATTCATATAATCTTTATTATTTTTCTCTCTTCTTAAGATTCTGATCCAACGATATTGGAAAGTAGTAGATAACATAGACATAAAAAAAGGTAAAATAACTTATCCCTTAAAAAATACATTATAGGCTAAATTCATTACATAATTTGAGAATCCATCATTAAAATTAAGTTAAATTTGTTTGAATTATCATTGCATGAAATTAAATTCATAGAAATTTTAACAATAACTGGTAACGCCACATCGCACACAATAACTAAAAATAGAGTAAATTTATTAAGAGTGGTTTTTTTTTTTCATTACTACGGGTATAAATAGGTTAGGCTAGGCTAGGCTAGACTTTACCTTAAATAAGCCAAACCTATGTAAAAAATATTAGGGCTGTCCTGACCTATTATTCTGTATAGGCCCAAATTACAAGTTTTGTCTGACCTATATTTAAAACATAAAAGTCTTAGTCTAAGCCTTTTAGTCTATTTAAGTCTATTAAAATTCAATAATTAAAATAATATTATTTTATTATTCAAAATTATTAAAATAATAATTTATTTATTTTATTTAAAATAAATAATATGATATAGGACTGCCTGTAGGCTCATAGAGCTGACGTGTATAAAAAAGTCTATAACTTGTTTTATAAATAGATTTTTTTAAAAGTCTAGACATATTCTATTTGACAATTTATAATAGGACAAACATAACTTAATATAAGCAAGGTCATAGGCTTTGTAGGTCGACCTAATCCATTTACACGTCGTCATGTCTGGCAGGTTGAGGAGCACAGTATCTATAGAACGAGTAAGCGGCTAAATTCGTAATAGCGTTTCTATCTCTGACCCAGAATACATTGTGACAGTACAACGTAATTACAGATCATTTATGTTCCAATTATAGCATCCTTAATAAGAAACGTAGCTATGCTTCTTTTGTCACAAATCCTGGTTATATACATCTCCTCATTCATTATCCAAAAAAAGACAACAAAAGAAACGGGAAAAGTTCCTTTTTTTATGTAAAGTTGGCTATATATATATTGGTAATATAATGGGGACAGAGCTGCAACATTTAAAGATATATTGGGTCCACACTCCATACTTCGATAATACATTGGGATTGGTGGTTTCTTCTTGTTGTGTGGGAGAAAAAGCTGAGCAAAGAAATTCAACTATGGCTTCTTGGAATTCAGTTCCACTTCATGTCTCATATGAAGTTCTGGGATGGTTTGCTTTTGTTTGTTGGTCTATCAGTTTCTACCCACAAGTCATCTTGAACTTTAAGAGGAAAAGGTACTACCCCAGATGATAATAATTTATCTTATCATTACTATTATTTTTTCTGGAAAATAATTTCATCAATGGTTCAATTCTCTTACTTTTTTTTTTTTGTTCCCTGTAGTGTGGTGGGCCTGAACTTTGATTTCGTGGTGCTTAATCTGACAAAGCACACAGCCTATCTCATATACAATGCATCTTTGTACTTCAGTTCTGATATTCAGAAGCAGTACAAAGACAAATACGGTCAGAAAGAGGTTTGTCCATGTTACCATACATGTGTGCTTTCCTTATGGAAGCTAAATTGATGAATAATGAATGAGTTTATGCTTCGTGAGAAGGGAAAGTTATTTTAGTCACTATAAACTATAGACTATTCAACATCATGATATATTGATGATTTGATAACTGACCCCATGATAACTCTTTTCCTTTAGCTGCTTCACTCACCTATCAATATTCTATATAATACCCTCTTGGGAGGTATGATATCTTAATTCAGCTTATAGATAGCTCTTTTTGTGGCCTATACTCTCAATGAAAGCACCAAAAACTAGCTCAAAGAGTGAGAGTGACCAAGACCTTATAAACCCCACATTAGTTGTATAGGCAACCATTGTGGGATTTTTTTTAGTCACATATAAACTCTCAATGATATCTTCAATTGTTAGTCACATATACTCTTGTTAATTATTCTTTATAGTTGATAACTTGGGATAAGAGGACGAACCTGCCGTGATAAAACTGCTCTTTTTTATTGAATGCAAACCTCTATCCTTGTTAGTCGAGATATAATGGGGAGTGAGTTCAATTTGGTAACTTCAAACTTAGTATATGATAGATATATATATGGAATTCTACTACTTGATCACATAAACTCTTTATATTATGTCTAGAATGAATGGTGGTTTTATATGTCTAACAGATTAATATTATATCTAACATTATCAGGCTTCAAGCATATACAAACTAGAAGGCTAGAAGTTTTTAGAAATTGAAGTAGTTTTCCTCTGTTTTAGATTTAAAAAAGCTGAAAAAATTATTAATTAATATTAATAATATTCATTGATTTATACAAATTCACTCCCTTTTTTACCTCATTTATCACTATCTAATATAACTGCATAGATTTATAAGCTGAAGTCCATTCTGCATTTCAAAATATTTAAGTTTAATGTTTGTGTAGATCTAACAATTTTTTTTTATATGTATTTCAGATGATACCTGTAGCAGCAAATGATGTTGCTTTCTCAATCCATGCTGTTCTACTAACAGCAATTTCCTTGTTCCAGATTGCAATCTATGAAGTTAGTGTTATTTACCTTTTCATTGAGCTTATTGTTCTTGTGATGAAAACTAAAAGTGGTGATATTTTGATGCAGCGTGGAAGTCAAAAAATCTCTAAAATAGCTTATGGAATCCTCCTTGCTGCGTGGTTGACTGCAGCAGTGTGCTTCTTTGTAGCCTTGCACAATCATCATTGGCTTTGGCTACTCTCAGTCTTCACGTATGTTGTCTGTTTTTTAAACTTCCTATTGTGGATTCTTTACCTATTTGTATATGAGCATCATAAGATAAAGGGTAAAACCCCATGCCATTGTTACATATAATGCATCATGGATGATGGAAGTAGTAGGGGTGTACACGGTTCGATTTGGTTTGATTTTCTATACCGAACCAAATACAATTCATTTCGGTTCATTTGGTTTTTTTACATTCTGAAAAATGGGTATGGTTCGGTTCAATTTTTAGCCCGAACCTAATCAAATTGGTAGAGTGGTTTGATTTTTGAACTAAATCCGTTTTGAAAAAACAATTTGTTTCTTGAACTAGCTTAAAAAAATGTTGTTTTTTTGGCGCGGTTTGGATTAATTCACAATTCAGTTCATTTGGTTTTGTTTTTTTTTTCTTTCATACTCCTAGAAGGAAGTGTGTCTTAGAATTTATTTCTGACTATTGTTGAAACTGATCAACTTGCAGTGGCATCCAAGTTTCTATGACGATCATAAAATATATTCCCCAGGTTAGGATCTATTCCAATTTGAATAATTTCCTTTTAAGACACATTATCCTTATGTTTATATTAATGCCTGTGATATTCAGTTCGATTGCTGAGATATAAATTAGAACCTATAAGAATATGCTAGTATTATCATCAAGTAATACTTTGGAATGAAAATATACTTAATCTGAAGAGCTATTTACTAATTTGGCTTTGATGCATTTGTGGATCGTTTTATGGTTCTTTGGTCATAAAGTAAAATGATTTTGCCATCCATCTTATTAATATATTGTGTTATGAATATAGGCAGTGATGAACTTCTTGAGAAAAAGTACAGATGGATGGAGCATTGGCAACATTCTACTGGACTTTTCTGGAGGAATAGGAAACTATTTACAGATGGCTATGCAATCAATCGATCAAGGTCTATCATCTCTATCATTTGCTTTACCAAAGGTTCTTCTTGTCTTAGTTTATTGTTTGAACTGACATAATTTTGATTTCCAGATTCTTGGGTCAACTTCTACGGAAACATAGGAAAACTACTGCTATCCCTGGTATGAATTGTTATTTTACTGTATGAAATATTATTCTGATCCAAGAATTTTTTTTTCCTTCCATATGCTGGAGAAAATGAATTTATAGTATAAATAGATCTACAAGCCTATAATTCAAATTAATCAACCGGGTCTTGGATTGAAAATCAATTGTGTATGCTCATATTAATATAACATTGTTATTGATGGATTAAACCATTGCAGGTGTCTATATTCTTTGACATCCTCTTCATGTGCCAACATTATCTGCTATATCCTGCAAAAAAAAGCAAACCAGAGGCATCTGCTGAACCTGATAATGCCAAGTCTTCCGATCGACCATTGTCTGAGAATGTATAAGATGTTACTTCTTTCCTAGGTTCTGTTAGATTTGTCAAAAAAATAAGGATATCACAGTAAAAAAAAAAAAAAAATTGTACCTTTTGTTGAAATAGTGTTAAGTATTGAAAGAAAGCATCTCAACAACACAAATCTATGAGATAACTTTTTAACTACTAAATCAAGTTACAAAATCTTATACACAGCAGCAAATGATAAAAAGGCCAAAAAAATTTATCCCTTTATTGCACGCAAAACAATACATAATATATAGGATATGAGAAAAGTTGTGTATCATTTTAAAGGACATAAAATTGTGTCATTTTAAATGAGTCTCATTTCCTTGTGAGAGTGAAAGGATGTAAAGTGTGTCATTTAAAATAACACACATTTTCCCCATAGGATATTATAGTAAAGTTTATTTATTCTATTCATATAGATATTACAAAAATTTTAATCTTGTATGTTGGTCATCAAACATTTAATTACACAAAAATTTGTCCATCGACTCAACGAATTTTTGTTCTACTACACAGACCAGTCCATTAGGTCAGCTATTAAGACTCATTAGAAGGGTTATATCATTGGAATATGGTTTATCGACAATTTATGTAATGCAACACAAAAAAAAAAAATTGATAAGACCCACTAAGAATAATAGAGAGAGAAAATAAGGTAGTCTTATCCATTTTTTTGTGTTACATGAAATAAATTTATTTCATATAACATGGGAAACAATATTCCCTATATTATTATAGGGTTTTATAAGAGTTATGTTGTAGGAAAAGTGATTGTGTAATGTTATAGAGATTCGTTTTGCGTGTCTTAATTTTTTTTTTTTTTTTGCTTTAAAAAGTGTGGGCCCCACAAAATGTTGTGTGTATGAAAGTTTTTCGTGTCATGTTAAAAGACAAACTAAAACCCCATTGTTATACCCTAAAATGATACAAATGTTCCCTCACCTCAAGTGATCTTATTCCGATACACACACATCTCATGCACCAAACGAAGATGATTGCCTTACATCCTAAATCCTTCATCTCAAATTCGGTTGCCAAATATTGTTCCAATAGTTTCATCTCACATTGATCATCATCGGTTAAAACCATATCATCAACATATGCTATTAAAACAGCTACCTTCCTTTCCTTGTGTTTAGTGAACATAGTGTGATCTGAATTGCTTTGTTTGTATCCAATTTTCCCATTGCCAAGGTGAAACTCCCAAATCAAGTCCTAGGTGATTGTTTAAGTCGATATATATAATGCCTTTTTGAGCTTACAAACCTTGGTTTCTCCAGACATATTCCTCCTAATTCCTTATGGTATGTCCATGTAAACTTCTTCCAAATCTCCATTCAAGAATGCATTTTTACATCAAATTATTTCAAGGGCTAAATTCAATTGGCTGCAATGGAGATCAAGACACGGATTGCATTCAACTTGGCCACAGGTGCAAATATTTCTTGGTAATCAATCCCATACATTTTGGGTAAACCTTTGGCAACTATCTGAGCTTTGTATCTGTCAATGCTTTCATCTACCTTTATCTTGACCGTAAACACCCATCTACATCCAATAGTCCTCTTTCCACATGGTAGGTCTACTAACTCCCATGTAGAATTTTTTTGTAATGCTTCCATTTCCACGTTCATTGCTTCTTTCTATTTCGATTTCCCCAATGCCTCCTACACACAATTAGCAATGTTGCACAAGTGGCTTCAATACTCAAGAGGGGGAGCAAATTGAGTTTTACAAAATCTTTTCGCAAATTGCCTCCTTTGATATTTTAAAGATTATTTCTTCAATAAAGTGATTTAATAATAAAAAGTCTAAGTGTGAGAGCAAGTGTAGTGATCAATAAAGTAAGCAAGCAAATAGATAAACACAATCTAAAATGCAATTTCAATATTAAAGAAAGGAGTTTAAGGATAGAGAAATTGCAAACTAAATGTATCCTGGTTCGGTCACCACCACCGTGACCTACGTCCAGACTGAAGTCGCTCGATCAAATCTTTTCACTAGCTTTCAAGCTTGAGGGTGCTTGAAAAACCACTACAATCTTTCAAGACTTCGGACTCTTATGCCTAATAATTTATCACTCCAAATTTTCTTAGGAATTTGGTGACCTCTCTAGTGTTTAGGGTTCACTCCCCTAACTATTCAAGAAATCAAATGGAGGTGTTTAACAATGGCTAAGTACTCTCAAAGTACAAATAATACAAGTTGAAGAACTATAGGTGTTGACACTCTCACAAGAATAAAGCTCAAAGATGATTTATGATCAAGATGATTGAAAATAAGCAAATGATGTGAAATAAAGCAAGAATTATGATCAAGAAGAGTTGTCCAATTAATGGAACAGTGGTCACTATTTATAGAGGACCCCATGACCCTTTGCACACTCATTTTCGCAAAACTAGCCGTTTATAGCCGTTATTTTCGTCCTCTGGTGCAATAGGAATCGATTTCCAATGAGTGGGAATTGATTCCCAACTTTTTAGATGAGTGGGAATCCATTCCTACGCACAAGGAATTGATTCCCAACCTTTTAGAAAGGTTAGAAATACGTTTAAAAATATTTTAAAACATTTTCAAACATATTTTTATAAATGTGTAATGCTATAAATTCTTTGTGTAATCAAATGATAATTTAATGCATGTATTTCAACAAAACTACGTTTGAGCTTATTCATGCAAGAAGTCAGTTACCCTCACAATTAATTCTAAGTGCTAAAGTATATTACTTGAGAATTCTTGGACTTAGATTCTTCTCTTGAAGCTTCAATCTTGAAGGACTTCATGAGCGTTAGTTGTTTGTTTCTTTTTTATTGTTGCAACTTGAAGCCTTCCTTCCATGCTTTGTTTGTTATCATCAAAATCCTAGACTTTATGTTCTGCATTGGTTCCACAATCTCCCCCTTTTTGATGATGACAAACTCAAATTGAAAAAATGATTAGCGTAGCATGTATCTTAATAAAAATGGAATTGACGTTCCCCCTTAATCTATTGATTTATATAAAGCGTGAAGATATTTATTTTTGAAATTCATTCTCCCTCTCTTTACATTAATATATGCCTTCCTTATATAATGGAGGTGTTTCTCAATATCTTCTCCCCCTTTGGCAACATCAAAAAGTAGCACATAATCCATCATAAAAAAAGGAATCTAAGGATACTAGACCATGACATAATAAACCATAATAAGGCATAATAAGCCATAATGCACAGTAAGGTCAGAGTCCCACAGATGCAAAATATCCAAGGTAAGATATCCAAGATGTAAGCAAAGTAAGAGTCTAAAATCATAAAATACGGATCATGAACTAAATGTCATCAGAGCCAGGTGGAGGTGGTGGAGGTAGAGGTGGAAGAGGAGGAATGTGAAGGTGGTCCTCGATGCGCTTGAGGCGGTACTCCATAGTAGTCTGACGGGCCTGAATAGTAGTGATGCCAGTCCCTAAAGAAGTAAATTCAGACTACATGGTAGTATGCAATGAGGTGAGGGAAGACAAGAGAGAAGCCATGGTATGATCCGCAGAAATAAAGGCATCAGCTGAAGCATGCAAATGTTCTCCAAAGGAATGCAAGTTGTCTTTCATGATCTCGCCATCATCATCAATCTGCTGAAACCGCATAATCCGATAAACAAGAGTGGCATACAGAAGATGATCGGAAGACTGGGCTTTCATCATCATGGAGCATAAATAGAACGGCCAGTTGAAGTCAATGTTAGATCGAATCACCCATATACGAGAGATATCGTACTCATACACCACAGAGTAGTTAGAGGCCCTTGGAGACAGAATGTGAGTGACAACGTAGTGAAGAATCCGGTTTTCCATAGTTTGGAGATTAACACTGAACTTGGATTTCGTGACATGTACACCCGGTTCCACAATTGATTGAATAAAGGCAGGCCTATCAAACTCAGGGAACGCTTCAGTGTATTTACGGCCCTCATAGGCATGACCAATTAAACTAGGCCACTCAGTGGGCGGGACAGTAATGGATTTTCTTTTAATTGCAGCTTGCAGAGTGTCGTTCTCAAAGGACACAGTGCAGTAAAATGCTCAAACCATATTCTCCAAATACTTTTCATTCATAATAGACATTTGAACCAGACGATTACTGCTCAATAAATCGCAGATCTCAAAATCTTCATCATCCAGAAACTTGATATCTAGATACTTCGGCTTGATGATTTTTCGCTTCGCATACTTTTTCAAGAAAGTGGAGTATTGATCGGTAGTTAAAAAATATCTGCCATGAAGAGTGGTTCTCTTGCACTTTGGGTTTGAAGTTTCAACCATGGGATCAACCTGTGAAAGATCAAAATCAAATTACCAAAGCGAGCACAGGCTAGTTATCTGCAATACTAATTACTTTAAAATATTGGCATGAGAGAGAAATAAAATACAAAGATCAATAAACATCCTTGGCATGAAATGAGCAAACCAAGAGTGCAGTTCAATATATGTAGGGACTTATTCTGTGAGTTGATAGTAGGTCAAGTAATTCAATGAATAATAGAGTGACAGATACAATAGGCATAGGAGATAATACATATGAGATGTATTTGACCTGTATTAATATGATGCAAGCATAGGCAGATGCATTACTCAGCCATACTGATCAAATTGGAGTAAGAGGAAAGACTGCAACTCATGAAGGCAGATCAGAAAGTGCATAAAAAAAAATGCAAATCAGAATGTGCATCAACCATTACTCGGACATACTTGTATTGCCAGCACAGCAACGCCAACGAATGTGCATAAAAAATAGCAAAATCAGCCAATGATAACATGGATAGGGATTTAAGGCAAATTAGTGAACCGCTATGTGGACAATAATGCAAATCAGAACTGTAGCATGAAGCATATCAACAGATTAACGAAATGCAACTCAGTGAACAATAATGCAAAATGTGCAACAAAATCAGAAATTCAAGTGACCAAAACATGTATGCAACATAGGTGATAAAACAATATAGGCGATAAAACAATATAGGTGATAAAACTGTGGACATAAGGTACAACTCAACCAGAAAAATAGAACCAAAACAAAGCCAGTAAGCAGAAACTGTGAAGACAGAGCATGGTAATATAGGAT